GGTTAGCTAGGCTCGTGAAGGTGACAGGAAATGGCCGAGCTAGTGCTTTGGATCTGTTAGCAGCAGTAGTGGTTTGCAGTGTGGAAAGTTAGTTGTTGGAAATACCATCTTCACGGCACTAATTCTTCCTACAGCATTGTGCCAGGCACTGTAGAGAGTATCTCCCACCCCAGACAGGCGCTGGTCTTTCTCAGCCTGCTCTAGTAGTAGTTAGGGGCTTTTCAAAGGTACAGCAGACAGGTGAGATGTTCACAGTTCTCAGTGACACTTGTTAGCTGGTCTCTTGCTCCTGTGGTCCTCCATTTGTCTCCCAGGCCAGCTTCCCTCATGCTTCTGCTTTCTCAGAAACATTCGGAGCCTGTGTGTGGACACGTGTTGTCCCGGGAGCAGGGGTATGTTGCAGCCAAGCCTCTGTACTTACCGAGTGATCAGCTCAGCCCTTTCCTTCCTTTCAGGACAGGCCATTCAGTCTTCTTCAGTAATCTTTTGTCATTTTAGTTCTACCTCTTTGGTTAGACTACAAGCTCTTTGGCTGAACGTTCAGGTCGAGTGTTTCTAACTCCTTTTAAACCCTCTCCCCTAGACTTCAACACAAAGTCATTTAGGTGCCCAGTAAGTGCTTGTAATTGATCTGTTTGCCACCCTTAACTGTAAACAAATACTGCCTGTACGTATTGACTGTGCCATTTTGACATTTTTCCCCTTTTATTTCATTCAATAAAGCCTTAGCTGTCACGACATTGAGTCTTCCCTCCTCCTACTTTTTTCCTGAAGTTATCCTGGAAAGAGAGGCCTTTGAAATGTGAAGGATTATGCTTAAGTTGTGCAGTGTACTCAGGGTGGGGACTAATTATGAGGTCTGAAAACCTCTTCAGGTGGCGGGGTTCTGTAGCATGACTAAAATACTGCTTTCCTAAATTAAGAACAGCTGGGGCTGTGTTGCTAGCAAGTATAAAAGAGTTGGTGGTAGTGGTGCTCTGTGTCATAAGGAAATCTTTGCACTTTTGAGCTGTGGAGCTTAAGCCAAAGGCACCATTTCTTTCTCAGTGTCGTTGTGGGTAAGTACCCCAAGTCTGGATGCCTGTTTCTATTGTTTGGTAGAAATTGTGGTGGCTGCATGAAAATGTTATTAGTTACCAACTTGCCATGCCAATTGTAGTAATAAGTAAATTATTTTATCTTTCAAGTAAGTTCTGCTTGTTACCTAAATGAGACATAGCCTAAGGCTAATTTATAGATCTTTTCACTGTTATTTTGAAGGCTGCCAGCTTTTCTCATGCATGATTTGCATGTCTGAATATAAAACTGAGGCCTGGCCATTTTAAATATCTTGAATGTGATGCTCTTAAATATGTTCTCAAAAGTGATCACTTAAAAAGACTCAAGGTTTTTACTAAGAAAATGGATAATTAAATATTCAACAAAAGCAAATAAAGTAACAATTATTTGATACAAATAAGCACCTCACCGAGTTGGGGAGGAGTGATGTGGTCTCTGAGCATAATTCACCCTGTTATGACCTCACAGTTAGCAACAAGTGGTAGGTAAGGTCTGATGAAGTGTGTGCCATTCAAACACATTTGGGAGTTCTTTGGTTAGTTGGTCTAAATATTCTTGCTTATAATGATACTAGGTGCAAAAGAGGCAAGAATTCCAAAATAAAACTATTCAGTATTTTGGAAATAAACTTGATCTCAGTCGCTTTGACTATATTCTGACAATGTAGTTAGGAAGCAAATACCTTTGCCATTTGTTTCCTTACTTTGAGAATTATTTTTGTTAGTTGACAACTGAATAAGCATAACTTCTAAACAAAGTTTCATTTGCTTTTAGGTGAGATAGTAACATCTTTTTGGGAGAAGAGTTGGCCTCCTTTCCTGAAAGTGGTGAGTGTACAGCACACAGATGTGTGAATGAAGTGAACAGCACTCACGTCTCTGCCTGCTACATTCTATATCAGGAAACAACAGTTCATTGTAAGAGTTCTTATGGATCTTGGACAAAGAAGGATTTAAGATAGTTAAATTTTCCACAAAGAACAAGCACTTCACCATCTCTTTTTTGATCTGAAGGCTGGGGGACAATGGATATCATAGAGACAGCAAAACTGGAAGAGCATCTGGAAAATCAAACCAGTGACCCCGCCACTGCTTACACTGGACCACCTGAGCCTGCTGAGGAAGAAAACAAAAATGGCAATGGTAAACCTAAGAGCTTATCTAATGGGCTGCGAAAAGGCACCAAAAAGTATCCGGACTATATCCAAATTGCTATGCCTGCTGAACCAAGGAACAAATTTCCCCTAGAGTGGTGGAAAACGGGCATTGCCTTCATATATGCGGCCTTCAACCTCGTCCTGACGACCGTCATGATTACAGTTGTCCACGAGAGGGTCCCTCCCAAGGAGCTCAGCCCTCCGCTCCCCGACAAGTTTTTTGATTATATTGATCGGGTGAAATGGGCATTTTCTGTATCAGAAATAAATGGGATTATTTTATTTGGCTTATGGATCACCCAGTGGCTGTTTCTGAGATACAAGTAAGTAGATCTTATATGTTTTTGGGGTTTGCTGTTGGTTTGTTTTTAAGTGAGTAGATATGCAATTGAGATTATTTCTCTCAGGTTTTCCTAATTCAGTTTTACCTGGATATTTGGAGAAAGCAATAGAAAAGTCTACTGATTGAATAAACTCAGGCACTGTTCAGGAAATGTTTGCTGAGCCACTGTATGAAAGTGGCAAGTGTACAGCAGGACTGTGGTGGGTGATTCAGAGTTTATGAATTTAAGGTGCAGTTCCTGATTCCCAGCCACTTGGTGCTGTGGTATTTGTATGATAAATCAAGAGGCCTGGAAAGAATAACATTCACTTCATCATGTTTGTGTTATTTCACACTCTTGACAGGTGGGAAAAAGAGGAGGCCAGGAAACCTTTTCTTACTTATAATGTGATGACTTTTAGTCTATAGTTAATATAAACTGCTTTGAGGTTTGCCTCTATTCAGAAGTCCTCCAATTTTACATTTCTTTTCTTTTTACCCTACTGGCTATCTAATCACAAGAGTCTTAAGAAACTGAGTTTAGAAATGGATGGTTTTAGTTTTAGATTTCTAAAGTAAACTTGCCTTCTCATTTCCCCTTGGCATGGCAAAGGAGCTTCATGGTTCACTGGGTTTGGCCTCCTGGTTTGGGAACGGTGTAGGAATCAGAAAATAATAACCCACGTTTGCTTTGAAGACACTTACAAATTGGACATATTTCTGAAGTGGTTATTTTTGATTCTGACTAGAATCATTTCATTTCATCCACCATTTAACTGGGGTTTTCTTTCTACTAGGATTCTAGTGATTAAATTACTAAAATATGAGTTTGATTGAAACACTGTCCCTAACCCAAGGCTTTAAAAAATGTAATTATGCTAATCTAGTGAAATTTGAAAATTCAAAGTCAAATAAGATTTCAATGTTAATGCCCTCAAATCATTTTTTAGAAGAATTCTAAAATGTATGATTCTTTTGGTTGGTTGTTTTGGAATTAAAGGGATTCAATCTATCAATGCTACAGATTTCCCCAAATGCAACTTTGCAGTTTTGAAAACTTATTCTACAAACTAAAGTCATTCCTAAGTATGTTCCTCAATATAACTTTCTTCACATGCTTTCATAATATGTTTAATTAAAAACTTAGCGATAAATTGTCTCTTACTTAATAAAAATAGTTTCTAAATGTATTAGTCATCCCATACCTTATTAAGCTAAAAGCAAAGAATATATTTGTTGGAATTTAGGGTTTTTCTTTTTAGTGTCTAGAATTGACGCTGACTATAAGAGAGACTGCTTGGGCCACAGATGTTTGCTTTTTCCTTAATTTGGAGCAAAGCTTTACTCATGTATGTGTGAAACGAGAAATTTTCCAGGGTCTGGTAAGTAGCTGGAGTACATCCTGAAGTCCAGTCTTCACCAGAGTCTTTGAATTTTTATCTAGTTAGTTGTTGTTAGCTGCCTTTTCATTACCACCTTAAATTTTACCATGGTCACATAGCCAGGCCATATGTTTTAATGACGTCTACTGTTTTAATCACAAATCTTAAGATCTTATATTTTAGTAACAGGTAGGTTAATTCTTTCTTTTTCTCTTTTTTCTTTTCTTTTCTTTTCTTTT